GTAGGTGCTCACTAAGAAGGGATTTTTAGAAATTCGACCCCTAAGGGAGTCAAAAGGGGTAAAATGTGCTCCTCTCATTGATTCCTAGGCTCCCTGCACCCCCCACTCTCTGACTGGTCAGCTGCAAAGCTCAGTGTTCTGAGGTAAAAAAAAACCCAACAGTTACAGGAGACTGCAGACAGCTCATGACAGTTGAGGAAATCAGGAACGGCCAACAACCACCTGTGAGGTGCAGTAATGGTGCTGGCCCAGCCTCTCTCATGGATTCCAACACACTCCCCCCACCTCCTATACCTAACAGGCGGTTGTCTGTCAGGTGCAGCAGTGGTTGCAGGGTGTGTAAAGCCCCGAGGGAGCCCACCCCAGCAGTAACACCTTAGTGATCCTGCTGGCCCTGCCTCCACAGTAGCTTCTAATACTCCTCCCCTCCCCCTCCTACAGGCAGCTGGCTGTCAGGTGTAGGAGAGGAGGTGGGATGCTTACAGCTGCCGGGGAGGTTTGCTCAGCAGAATTGTCTTAGCCCTGCTGCTGACCCAGCCTCTCTGATGGCTTCCAACACACTCCCCCGCACCTCCTACATCTAACAGGTGGTTGTCTGTCAGGTGCAGCAGTGGTCGCAGGGTGCTTAAAGCCATGAGGGAGCCCGCCCCAGCAGTAACACCTTAGTGATCCTGACAGCCCCACCTCCACAGTGGCTTCTAATATTCCTCCCCCCCTCCTACACTGGACAGGCAGCTGCCAGGAGGAGGCAGGAATGTCACAAAGACATTTGCACATAGTACTCCCGCGAGGCACTGAGCTGCGCAGGTCAAGTACCAGCAAGATCACCCTGAGGTGCTCAGAACAACACCATATGAGCAAAACAATCCAGGAACACAAGTAGAGAGGCCATCACTTTCATGGAAGGTGGCAGGAATTGACTTAACAGATGACTGCTTCTTAAATGGACAGTTCTATGTGGCCTGCTCCAGAGCGAGCTCATCAAGCAGCCTGGTGATCCTAGCACCTGAGGGCAGAACCACTAATGTGGTCTACAGAGAGGTCCTTCTGTAGAGGGGGGGAAAGTACACATGTCTCACTTCATTTTTTACACTACAATCTTCTCCACTAGAATTCCTATAACAAATGTCACATTTCAAACTTCACATCATCGGTATTATAACTGGATTTACGGAACTTAAATACCGTAGCGAAGCACGGGTATCAGGCTAGTATCCAATATAACATGATCTGGCAAACAGTTATTTAAAAGGCCCTCTAAACACCGTATTAAGAGAGCCATCATTATCTTGTAATATTCTCCCAATAGACTCTCTGGTCCAAATTGTTTATTAATCTTAAATTGTTTAATCAAATTCATGAGTTTTTGGGGTATTTCTTAGCTTCTGAAATTCTGGGCATATTATAATGATCTTAAAAATCTTAAATTACATTTTTGTCAGATAATCAGTTTGACATCATTCTTTGAATGTTTCTGACATTCCTTTTTCTGATAGTGTTTAGGTTTGAAAACGATTAGCAAAAATAGCTGAATAAATTTATTTTTCTAGGGGTTTCTTTTTGCTAAAAAGCCATCTTTCCTTTAAGACATTACAGCACCTATTCTATCTTTGACTATAAGAGTAGAGCAGATAAATGGTCATTCTCTGATTTATCCAGGCTATAAAAACATCAACAGCCAATCTTAGCAAGAACAAATGTCTGGGAAAGCTGGGCAACTGCATGCTTCCCCATCTCGTATACCGAAGCTGGTGCAGGTCGTTCCTCCTGTAATAAAGGGTATTAGAGCCAATCAACTTGAAATCACAGAAGCCTTTAAAAGGGTGATTCCATTCCCTAGAAAAGCAGAAGTTTAACTTGTGGGTATTTGAATACAACATGTTCTAATTAAACACTGTTAATAACTGTTTTTGACCTGAAATTATACTTGATTACTATGCCAAGCTTTGCAGGATTTGAAGCACTCTAGCCTTAAGAGATACTCTAAACAAGCAGCTCTGAATATGGTAAACCCATTCCTCAACTCTTGTAATTGATATATGCAAGTTGAGATTTTATTGATTCTCTCGTCCCCCCTCCCCAGCTCCACAAGACAAATCTTGAATATACAACACTAGTATATCGGTGAGATGATTAAGCTCCCTTCTTCCTCTCATCTAGCCTTCCTGGTGTGGGGCGTTTTCTTTTAATACAAGGCAGAATCCGGTCATGTGACTACCGTCCACACACTTAAGTGCTACATTTGTGAATGTGAAATTTTACCATACTGCAGAATCTAGAGTGCCTCTCACACCTTCCTCTGTATTGTGTCATATCCTGCATTCTCTCTTTTACAGCTATTTTAAAGTATACACTAATTAGTTTTGGAATGAAAATCCCCTCCCATATTCAAGTGGCAATTGCTATTTTGCCACACATGAAAGTAATTCAAAGAATGATAATCTCCTTTGTGGATTTCAGATCTGTCTATCTAGATAGTGTATTTAAAAACTTAGTGGCAGACACTTAAATACATGTGTGCCTGTTCATCTTACTCTTTTGTCTCACAGAACTCCAGACACACCCAAAGTTAAAACAAACTTCCCTTTAATTTAAAGAACTATCTGATCTTTACTGACCTGCAAGTGATATCTTAAGAGTTCACAACCTATCTTTATTTTTCTACAAGCCAGTGAAAAAACAGTCATTAAGTGGAGAGGGATCAACACCTGGATACACTTATATGGCAATTAATGTGCTTATTCTCAGTGTGTGGTTTCTGATAACATTCATACCCAGCCATCCTGGCCAGTAGCGGAGGCGAGGATATCGCTGAAAGACTTGTAACAGTGGGAGATTGTTGGGATCCATATTCTGATACAACAAAACAACAACAAAAATGTAACATGAAACTAGCCCTCTCTATGATTTGGCGTGTAGAATTACTAATATCATCGACCTTGTTAAATGGCTTCTATACAAAAGCAGCAGTTTCCTCAGTTATGTTAGTACTTCAGTGTACTTAGAATAAAACACCGGTCATATTGCCAAAGCTGATTTGAGCAGTGCCAGTGTTTCTGGGTGCGGGGAAGGGTTAAGCTCTCATACCATACCCCAGTCCCCCTCTCCAGGCTACTTTTAGACCTAAAGTTGAAAATGACAGACACCTGTACTGCATCTGTCTTTTTCTGAGCAGAACTAACAGCTTTTATTTGGGGGAGGGGAGAAATTTACATCAGAGGGACAGAAGAGGGGAAAGGAGCTAAACCCGTCCTTCACCATCAAAACCAAAGCCTTCACTGATTACTCCCAGGGGTCATTTCCTGCGGGAGCGCACAGGAGCGGAGCTCCGGCAGTAAGGAGTCAAGGGGGCGGGAACATGCAACAAGCTCCACCCCCTGCTCCCAGCAGCCCTCAGTCAGGCCATGAGGAACAAGAAGCAACCAGGTAAGTTGCAGAGCCCCCCCCCCAGCCCACCTTCAGGTACAAACTCTCCTTCCTCTGTGAGGACAGATCTGCACGTTCCCCCCCCCACTAGCTAGCAATCCAAAACAGTCCAGTGGAGCCTGGGCGGTGGGTGTTGCCTTCTGACACACTTCCGGTGATGTCAGGGGGTGTGGCATATGCAAATGAGTAATGCTAATGAGCTCCTTCACCTCTTTTTCTATGAAATGACCCCTGATTACTCCCATATGAGCTGAAATCTTAACATAGAAAACTCACAATCAACCTTGCTGCATAAGCAAGTATAGATTATGAGTGCTTGGTGATTTTGCCATTGCACTTATAACAACACCCTTTCTGTAGTTCAGTGCTTTGCTCAAAGTTCTCCAGATCAGGCACCTGTCAATTCATATCTCACAGACAAACGCTTATTCTTAAAAGGATGCCCTAGGGAAAGTACTGAGGAAATAACATCTTAGTTAGCATTGCAAGCTGTTCTTTAAAGTCAATTGTCTCATTAAAAGAGTGAGGTGTTGCTGTCCTGTATATATTCCTTTTAATTTTAGGAACATTTAATATATTTGTGAATACAAAGACTCAGATGTGCTCCATTCTGCACAGGCTGCCCTCTTGATTTTAATGGAAGGAACAGATGTATGTACTCAAAGGAATAAGAGAGCAAATCTGTTCCCGTCCTCAAAATGAATGGGGCAGTCCTTATGAGTGGGACAGGTCCTATGTATGTAAAAGCTGGGTCAAGCTGAAATGGCATTGTTAAAACCAACAGATTTATCATCACATGCATTTTTGTAGGCAGCTCCTAAGTTTATTCAATGCATGAAGCACACTGAGAAGATGGAGAGGGTGGAATTGGATTACCTGTCATGTCTTCCCCTGGGAACATACCATTTAGAATTCTGTTTTAGCCTTCCTACAGAAGACCTGTAGCTCAATCATCTCTAGCCTTGAGGAGATGTACCCCACATCCGCTTTATTTGTTTACTGGAATGAATTTAAAATATTTACACCCTTCCCTTCCTTCAAATGATCCAAGATATTGTTTGGCAAATACCAACAGGCAATTAAAATTAGCAGGCAATTAAAATTAGCAGCTCTGGATATATTTATTTTAAAAAAACAGGTATCTATCACATTTTTATACCATACTTCATCCAAGGAGCTCAGAGTTCACTCCTCCTACATTTTAACTACATGGTTCACCCCTCCTATATTTTACCCACACAACAACCCTGAGGGGTAAGATAGGCTGAGGAAGAGTGAATGGTCTAAAGTCACCCTAAGCTTTGTAGCTGAATAAGGATTTGAACTCAGGTCTCCCCTATCCAATATTCAACACTCTAACCACTACATTGCACTGGTTCCGTATAAAACATCAATAAAAACACAACCACAATCCAGCTTCTCTCAGAAAATATTTTCATACCAGTACAAAAACAATCAAAACAAACACCAAAAACCAGAGAAGTATATCACATGCCAGAATCAAAAACTAAGGAATGGCTATTTCTATTCTGGCATTTAATTACAATACTTAACCTATTTTCTGATTCACATACTTGGATTTCCCTGGGAAACTGGCTCCAAAGGTTTTGGGACCAAGTCTTCTTTGGAACTGAAATCTGGAATGTATAATAATGTGTTTGTTTAATTAAAAATGCAAAAAACAAGACAAAACACACATATACACACACACCCAAACCAAACCAGGAGACCATGAATATGTCAAAGCAGAAAAATCTTATGAGCACAATGAAAAACAAGACAAAAGACACACAAATACACCCCAAACCAGGAGACCATGAATATGTCAAAGCAGAAAATCTTACGAGTACAATGACAAATTACCTAACTAATGACTGATTAGAGAGTGCTTAAAGAACAAATGCTGCTGCTTTTGAATGATTAAAAAAACCTGCAATAGCCCAGTAGCACCTTAAGGACTAACAAAATTTGTGGCAGGGTATGAGTTTTCGTGAGTCACTGCTCACTTCCACAGATACCAGAGCTCCAGCTGAGCATGAACACACATACCTCATTTACCAATAGACTCCTGTCGTTAAACCCGTCCTGCTTGCTAAGAAAACTGAAAGTTTACAAGTGACAACCAATGAAGGGGGGGAAGATGGCAGAAGGTGCAGAATGGGGAAAACACCCTCGATATTGACGGTGGAGTGGCCCTGAGGGGCAGGGAAATGGAGGGGGAAATCTGGGATGATATGTCTGCTTTTGGATTATCATTGGCCTGGAAACGAGTCACGGGGAAAACTCACAGCAAAACCACTCTCAGAAAACTTGGGCCAACAGCGAATGAAAAGCGAGCTTGGCACCAAAGCAAAGAAAAGTTATGCAGAATGGGGGGGGGGGCTGTTGAAAATGCATGGCAAACGTGATGGGAATGCAGAATGACAAAAACCGATGGACATGCATGGGAAAAGTGAGGCAAAACACCAAATTCATAATAGGCCTCTGTCTGGGAGAAGTGTTTGTGACACAGAATGCCTGAAGACCCTATTCAATATACTATTTCAACTTATGCGCTTATACAAGGCCTGGAAGGTCCCTTCTACCTCAGAATGACTTTATAATTCCATTTTGAAATGAAGCCAAAATGGTCCACTAGGTTTTAATTTTTTAATTAAAATATAATACTTAAGGAAGATTGAGTATTAGGTGGAATGGAATAAGAAAGCCCCTCAGCATGCATCACTCAATGCTAACGAAGAGGCTGTAATTTCCAGTGAACCTTCTGGGCTCCCAGGCCTACTTTATAATTGTATTGTCAGTCATGGGAATATTAGCTCACTCTCTAGATACCCCATTGAAAGCTAATTAAGCTTTTCCCCACCAGATTGTCACAGCTGTCTGGGCTTATTAAATCTCCATTCAAACAGTAGTTGCCACATACAAACCACAGATCATTCTCTTTGAAGTGATCATCTGTATGCAGGGACTAACTTCAGCTCTGGACTAATTTTGTTACCGTTCTTGGTTCCTTGGGTACCTCAACCCTGTTGCATACTTTTGCCATCCAAGCTTGGCATGCTGCACAAAGAATAACTTTATTTGTACATCAGAATTCATGCCATTGTCTAAAGGTTTGTAGTTTTTAGCAATGGGATTACCATAAAACATATATTCTCCTGCCACTTCAGCAAAAAAGAACACAAACCATTATGGACTCTGGAAGGAAATGATTTCCCCAATCCCTCTTCCTCACCGCAGTCCCTGCCCCGATCCAAATCACTTATTGTCCATGTAACTCCACGCATAAGCTTTCCAGGGGTCAAAAGGGATGGCTTGCAGTAAGGGGAACACAGGGGGAAATCTGTCAGCGCTTTCCGCTGCCAGTTGGATAGATTTAACCCATTAATTTTCAGTTGAGCAGTTGGCACATTTAGATGTAAGCCATCAAGTGATCCTCTTCCTGCAGTTTGAAGAGGCTTAGTCTGTCAGACATTTTTACCCCACACAGGTCCTAATGTAAATATTACAAATCATATACTAGGAATTGTTTTCCAGCCAAACTTATTATGGTCCAAGCACATTAAATATCTTAATCAGAAAGTTGACCAAGCCTTACTAGCCTTGAAGACGTTTTTCTACATCCAAGGAGCACAATATGTGCCAGAGCTCCTGAAAGCATATGATACCTTAATACTACTGCACATAATATAAGGTTCCCAAAACTGGTTCTTAGGTCCAACAGAGCAACTTGAAAAACTACAGCAAGCCTTCTTCTGTAAAATATTAACTTTATTACCATGCACCACTTCTGCAGTCATAAGGCTTGAGTTAGGCCTCCCAAGAATCTCAACTCTGAACTGGAGGGCCATAGTTAGTTATAAATATTGACTGTTAAATGCTGAAAGCCTTCCAGCCTTTACCATACTGACAGAACATGAACATTGCTGGTCAAAATGGAATGATGCTGTAGATGCGAAAATAAGACAATTGGGCTTAAGAAAGACAGAGAATTTAACTAAAAGAAGACAAACACTACTCACAGAAAAGTTGCTTCAAAATTATTTGGATGCCCTTCAAACAGATGGTAGACAAAAAAAGCTCCCCACTTCATCTAGAAATTAAATATTCCACTAAATTTGACCTGTCTCTCTACTTAAACATGTTGACCATTCCAAAATTGAGGTGGTCATATATGATTGCACGCTGCAATGTGTTTCCAATAGCCCAGATGAAGGGCCGTTTTCTCAAGACCTCTCTGGACCAGCGCTATTGTGACTGTCCTTTGATAGAACTTGACTCGCTGTGTCATGTTTTCTTCTATCATCTAAAACATGCAACAGCAAGAGAAAGACTCTTAAGAAAATGGCTGTCGAAATAGTCATCTTTTCCTGATGCATCAAGATTAAGACTACTTCTGAGCAGCCTCTGCCAAAATTGCATCGTGGATGTGACAATTTTCTGTTTTACTGTTCTTTTAAATTCCTAATTTTTTAAAATGGTGTATGGCCTATGGGCTACTAAACTTTAAACTAACTAATAAACTAACTAACTAACTAACTAACTAACTAACTAACTAACAAACAAATCACATAACATGGGGTGGGGAATCAGCATTCTTAAGGTCTATTGCTCTGGGTTTAAAGGTCAGTTCAAATGACCTCTGTCCCTCTCCAGTACCCAGGAATTAGTAAAGTGCACCATTTCTCAACTCCTTTATGCTTGGGCCTTGCACTCAGGACCCGTGCTGTAACTAGAATCTGGCCCTCATGGAATGTCAGGATGGCTACTCCTCCTCTTCCAAACTGGACGCTCCAAAATTCAGCTGAGTGCAGAAAGTATCTCAGATGCTTCTTGCAGATGAGCAAGAATGTTGAGTGCCCTAGGCAAGGGTGCCCAAGTTACCCTCATATGGGGAGCCAGAAAGTTGGCACTTGACATCCTCTCCTCCTTTAGCATCACAGGAACATGCTGCCCATTCTCCTCACACCCAGCGGCCAGCACATTAATCATCTGCAGGGTGGCCAGAGCCCACCATGTCTCTTTCCCCCACAAGGGAGGGAGCAGGCTCCCAGCAGCTGGCTATCCAGAGTGGCCCAGGATGCCTCCCCAATGCCGTAGCCCTGCTGGAAGCTGAGGGGGGACGGGTTTTCTTTTTGGCACCTAGGCAATCACCTAGGGCTGCCCAATGAATGAGCTGTCCATGAACATTGGAAGGCTGCTGAGGACTTCAATGCCTTCTGTAATCCAGACACAAAGGCACAATAAGTGGCAGCACTCAACATGTCTTAAATGGAACTGGAAAAGCTGAAAACATCATGAACATGCCTTAAGTTATATTTCTCTAAGAATTTGCAACTTCATAGTGTATCTCCTTTTCTATAAATAAGACCAGTTTTCAAATAGTTAAACAGAAGGTATGAGTAGGGTTGACAGGTCCCTCCTCGCAACCAGCGGGGGATGGGGAGACTTACCAGTAGAAGTGACATCATCATGCCAGGCAATGCTCTGGTATTTGTGCAAAAAACTCTATGCTAAAACTGGCTTCTACCATAGAGTTTTCCCCCAAATACCAGCATGTCACCCAGAAGTTTGTAGTGTGATGATATCACTTCCTGTGTGATGCTGGCAACATGGCCTTGGTTTTCTTCTTTCTACTGGTAAGTCCCCCCACCAGCCAGCTGATCCATGGCTGTGGGGGCCTGGCGGTGGGGGACCCTTGCCTCCACTGGGGGGCCTGGTCAGCTGATTGGTGGCTGGGGGCAGGGCCTGGTGGTGGTGGGATCTGGCAACCCTAGGTATGAGTTTAGGGTTGCCAAGTCCATCTTCTGCCCCCAGTGGGGGACTTTGGGGGCGTTCCTGGAGGGGGCGGGGCATCACTGATGTGATGACATCACGTTGGGGACGTCTGACACCACCCCCCGCCCACGTGCTCGATCTCCAGAAACGCCAGTTTCCTGCACTTAAAGGAGCTGGCGTTTCCCTTTTAAGTACACGGAGCCGGCGTACCCCCTTTAAGAGCAAAGAGCCGGCGTTTCCCTTTTAAGTGCACGGAGCTGGCATTTCGCTGCAAGCCTGATCTCAAGCGGAGATCGGGCTTGGGAGGAAATGTGGGTTCCATTAACTTAAATGCAGCCACCCCTTTCTCTGAAGAGAGAAGGGAGAGGGGTGGCTGTGGGTGTTGGGGCGGGGGACCCCTGGCAACCCCCCCCAAAATGGGGGACCCATGGCAAACTGGGGGGTTTGGCAACCCTATATGAGTTAGATATATGGGGAAGCTTTACAGTACAACCCTAAGCAAAGTTGCACCCTTCTGAGTCCATTGACTTAATACTGTTCAGAATTGTACTGCTGGTCATCATGAGACTAAGAACAATTTACTAATATCTTTTAAATGGATCTATTTTATTTCATTATATTCAAAGGTCTGGCCTGGTGTTAGAGTGATGTAGAGACAATTGTCGGCCATTGTTTGTACAGAAACCATTTGCTGCTACTTGCTTTCAGACAGCCTGACACCACCACCATTTTAAATCTGCATGCCTGCTCAGCATGCTGGCCCAAACAGGCCTTAAGATAATGGCCTCCACTTTTAATATTCTCATTTTGTAATATCCAGCCTGTTGAAGAGTTCTGGTGAACATAAAAGTTTGTACCATCTTTTTTGTCACTTTGGTGGTCCTCATAAAAGGAATTTCGTGAAATTTGTTCTTGGTTTTGAGTTTTGCTTTCAGAGCAGTACAGCAGCAAGCAACTTTAGTCTGGTCTACTGTAAGGCATAAAATGGTGAAAATAAATTTATTTATTTAGAAAATGTTTATACCACTTCTCCTGGGAAACTGTCCAAAGTGACTTATAAAATAAAACATAATAAAAAACTTTGAAATACTGACAGATTAATTGAAATATAGAACTTAAAAAAATCTAGCCAGAGCATAAAACCATAAATAATCGAGTAACTTAAAACAACAGTTTTCATACCAAAACGATGATAAAAGATCAATCCTTTCATTAAAAGTCTGGAGGAACAGAAATGTTTTGGCTTGCTGCCTAAACGAAAGTAACAAGACAATCCTCAAGAGTGAGGGCATTCCAGAAGCAAGGTGCCACTGTTGAAAAAAGCCGTCTCTGGTGCTCAACTGCTTCATCCTAGAAATGGCCTCAGTATTTCTTCAGAGTTACTTGAAGATATTCAATACTGGTAGGTATTCAGAGTTTCTGTAAGGTATTACCTGTTTCAAAAATGCTTGATCCAGATTTCCATAAGTCTGTTTCCATAGCTTTTATTAAAAAAGGAGAATAATTATAATTTAATGTAAGAACACGTTAAAGTTAATAGAGCAAATAGCACACTTTTAAAACAGCCCCCTGAAGAAATATGTTACAGGAGTGAGTTTGATTAGAAGAAGCTGAATAACAGGAGTATATACAACATTCATGGCTTTAAGTGAAATGTTAAAGAGACATGCTACAAACATTTTGTAATCTTGAGGTAAACCTTTTTTTTGGGGGGGGGGATTCCACCTTCTGCACATTCTGTGGTCCATAATGTAGCACCCACAGGGCAAGTTTGGGTAGTAGCCTAGAGCTCATGTTCTTTGGAAGTCCAATCCAGTGGGGTTGCTGTCACAGGCTGCGGTCACATGATGCGCCATCTGGAGCAGAGGGGAAGCACCCCTGTTTCCTCCGGGGGAATTTGTCTTGCTGTTGTGAGATCACACATCCCTTTGTGCTGCCGGCTCAGCCCATTACCGTGTGAGTGGGCTTTTTTGCCATTTGTTTCCCATGCACATAAACGAGGAATCGCACCTCCACAATGAAGGTTCCCCATGGAGTATGTGATTATGCACATACGGCTAAGGGTGTATGTGTGTGGGGGGGATGGCACCAAGTTGGAATTGAATGATCAGACCATCCTGATGGCTTGAGAGCATGCTGGAGCGATCAATTGTGAAATTAATTGTTTTCATTCATATTTTAATGAGATATCATGGAAGCAAGAGAACAGAGGGAGGATTGGATGTGTAGTTAAAATGGACATAACCTGGAAACAATATACTCACTTTGTAAGCGTAAAACATGCTGAGTAAACCCGGCAACATGCCCTGCCAGAGTCTAAAATGCCTAGCTATGCCATAGCTCTGTTCCCAAGATTTCCTAGCCAATCTGATCTTGCTTCCTTTCTGGCTTGCTCCTTCTATTTCCCCAGTTTTCATCAAAGAATAGTCAGAGATGCTATGAGATTTCACCCCTGTCCAGTTAAATTCCAATGCTGATCTAGTATAAATTGTTTTTATGTGTTTGTGGTGCATTGTACTCCACCCTGAGCCTGCTTCTGGGGGAGGGAGGGATACAAAAATCTCACAAATAAATAAATAAATATGTACACATCTCAAATCTTCATAGATGTGTTTGTGTGGCACCCAGTTTCCGTATTCAGTTTGATGTTCGGGAAAATCTGAGGTTTAAGAATGCAACTCTAAATGCATGAATATGGTTCTTTGGAAGTAAATGTATTTGGGACTGAGGTGTAAAGCACATACACAAATCATAGAAGCTGATGCCAGGAAAAAGCTAGTGAGCCAAGTGATGTCTTATATAATTTGTTTACATGTATTGGAAATAACTAGGGGAAATTATGAGATGACTGACAGGATAAATGCTGTTAACTAGATTATGAGACAAACTTAATGGAAAGTACACCAGTGACGGGGAAAAATAATGTTCCTGGAAGCAGATGGGATGATTAATGCAAACATTCCAAGTGTGTATTCTGAACTAACTACACATAAGATCAATAAGATGTAAACACCAACTGTGTTGAATGTAGTATGACTAGGAAGGCTGCCTAGTCTGTGAACAACTTTGTATCCTGAACTAAGTTTTCTAAAGACTTCACATTTATGTTACATGGGTAGGAAAGAATCCATTTGATGGGATCTATCCTAAAGAAGTCTGGTGTGAAAAAACATGCACAGGTTGCTCACAAATAGCCTAACAGAAATTATTCTTGTCTGGTGGGAGCTCTCTCTCTCTTTTTTTACCCTAACCCAATATACAGCTCAGTTCCAAGATGAAAGAGCTCTTTTCAATCACTTTGAGTAACATGGGCTGGAAATAGCAGTTTTTCAGTGCAGTTATTCCAGTCAAAGTCCATTAACACTGTAGGTGATAGAAACTAGTGCTTCTACTCAGACTAACACACCCAGTAGAATGGAAGGAGAATCTACTCAGGCATCAAATGTTGTAGGAATCCCCAATTACCCCACTTAAGAGAGGGAAAAGATCCTACTAGAGGCTAGGGATGCTAGCCTACAAGTGGGACCTGGGGATCCCCCAAAATTACGGCTCATCTTCAGACTACAGAGATCATTATTCCTGGAGAAAATGGATGCTTTGGAGAGTAGACTGAACCCCACTGAGGTCCCTGTCCTCTTCAGGCTCCATCCCCAAATCTCCAGGAGTTCCCCAAACTGGATTTGGAAACCCTACCCCCACCCCCCACCAGTGGCCAGGGGGGAGCTGGCAACCCTACTAGAGGCTGAAATGAACACTTACCCAGATTGGCAGGAGAACTGGCAGGCTTCCTGAATGAAGCAATTGGTTCTTGGCGCTGAATACCTGTGTGGTTTAACAAAAAGATTCACAGAAGAGTCAAGTCTAAGATACAGAATGAATCTGAAGCTGCAGTTTTGCTGAAACCCTGGATTTGAAGACAGTGAGAGGGAATATGAAAAAGGATGTGTGTCTTCTATGTACGAAAAACATTTTTATATTTCCAGTATGGGAATTAGCCCATTCTCTTTTCTGGCCTCTTACAGTGTTGCCCTAGTAAAAAATAACAATATATAGCATGCATGAATTTGGATGCACAGATTCTTCAGTATCTTTCTTTTTCTTTTTTCTTTTTGGAAGTTGGGTCTACTTGATGCTCCTTGAAGCAGGAGACTAGTCTGAGGACAGTTTGAAAGAGAAATTATTTTTCATAGTGTGTGTACTTGTTCTGTTTTTATTTCTGGTTTTTACCAGTTTTTATTTGAACTCTCTGTTTCACCAAAAGATAAGATGGGATGGAAGAAACGTTCATACCATGGAAAGCAATATATTTCTTGAATCACTTTCAAACCATCAAGATATTTATTTTAGTAATTTATCCATTTCTCTAACAGTATAGGTCATCATGCAAAGTCATGAGAACTTATGAATTATATTTAGAGGACAATGTTAGCAGGCAGTTTCCCCCCTTCTGGTTAATTTGAATGAGAAGCTCTATTTAATCACTCACCCAGGGATCTCCAGTCTGAAAGTCTGTCTGCTGAAGTCACTTAAGACACATCAGGTTCAATTGATTTTAATAGGCTAGGTCCTTCAGCCTAGAGCATTTGCCACATGAACATTTGCATGTAATGGTACCAACATGGCACAGAGAAGTCTGTTAAAGTCCCTGGGGCTTAGCTTGCAGTGTAGAAATTGTTTAATCGAGCCAGTAACATTTACTTTATTTGAACTCCTCTGATGGTGTAAATAGATTATGGATTTCAGTTCAAACTATATACTTGGGGTTAAATAATTCGGAGGTTTCCATCCATTGGAAGTCAAGTTAATAGTGCCCTAGGCCCATAGCTAAATGCTTGAAAACAATATAAGTGAGATTTGGCCAAATCCAGCCACACTAACTTTACTGGGACAATTAATCATGAGTGAAAATCTCTCCCACTGAAATAAGTGGGAATTAAAAGAGCTTAAAAACCCTGACCTGGATAGCCCGGGCTAGTCTGACCTTGTAAGATCGCAGAAGCAAAGTAGGGTTGGCCCTGGCCTCTGTCTAGTATTTGGATGGGAGATCTCCACGGGAGTTGAGGGCAATCCACCTCTGAATGTCTCATGCCTTGAAAACCCTACAGGGTTGCCATAAGTCGACCATGACTGAACAGCACTTTCCACCACCCAACTTTGACTTTCTTGCAAATGGTTTGCAGTCCTGTTCAAGCTAACTTGAAGGACTTGCTTCCAAAGAAATGCGTTTCAGAGGGAGTTGCGAATTTTACTTTACAGAGATTCAAGAAGTCAGATATATTAGAGAGAAACTAGGAAAAATAAGTAACAGAAAGACTTTACCTGCATTAGCGCGAGGGATATTTCTGTTACTTGCATAGCTGGAAGTGCTTCTGAATGCTTTAAAAATATTTTATCAGTCAGTGCATGAACGTCAACATTGTTTTAATTAGAACATTTCTTAGTCTTCATTAGTTTACACTGGGACATACCTTGATTCTGGCTCCTCCCTTGTACTGCCTGAACCTGCCCTGAAGTAGGCATTAAAATGGAGAATATCAGTTAGTTTTCAAATCCATGGTAAGGCTTTCATTTTAAAATAAATGTAATGTCATACTGGTGAAGACTCTTGCCCTAATTCTTAAAACTGGATTTAATTTTTTAATGTAGGATATTCAATATTTATGAATTATTGGCATGTATCCACCATGCACTTCTTCCAATGGTACATCCAGAGGTCGATTTGGGGGGGATCGCGGGGGGGTCGCAGTTCCCCCGGGTGAGGTGCGGGGGGCGGGGCACATGACGAAGCCCCGCCCCCTGCTTCTGGCCGCCCCGCTTCCAGCCCTCATTCAGCCAGGAGGAGGCAGGAGAAGAGGGAGGGTACGTTGCTTCCTCCCCGCCTCTCCCCACCCCTGCCTGCCTGGGGCCAGGGAGGGCCTTGGCGGGGCTTCCTCGCACTCCCGCCGGCCTTGCAGGTCCACCGCCGGGCCCCTGATGTCAGGGGGTGTGGCATATGCTAATGGGTTATGCTAATGAGTTCCCCTAGCTTTTTTTCTACAAAACGACCCCTGGGTACATCATTAATGTTTTTGGGAAGTGGGGTGGTGATTTTGGCTTATCGCCCCCTCCCTCACTGCAGACCCCCCCCCCACACACACACTTTGCTCCTTGTTCTATTCCTCAGTGATTTGTTGGGAGACTCAGTGGGCTGCATCAGGAGGAGAAAGCACACAGGTCTTGTTCTGCAAAGTCTTTGGAAGTCTGGACTCATGTCATGAGATACATAATTGAAGCATGTCTACAGAACACCCTTGCACTGGTTTAAGAGTTCAGCACCTCACCATACAATATCATTTTCAGGATTCTTCAAACAATTCTATAGTTGTTTTCCACAGCAGTCACCTGTGGTATCATTGCCGTTTCTCTATATAATAATTGCGTTTTGGGGTGGCCCTTTGCAGCTCTCCCATTGGCTGTGCAATGCACTCCCTCAGCCATTGGCCCGTCAGCCGCCACTCGAGTACTCGCGTGCCATTGGCTGGGTGCTGGATCTGCTCCTCTTCCCCACCCACTCCCTCTTCAGCCACTGTGTTCTGCCAGAATTACTCGCAAACGGCTTTCTCTCTTGACGAAGATGCTTCTCCTGCTTGCCTCCCGTGTGGGACTAACTGTTCCCTCAGTGGCTGTTGGTAGGTGTAACGAAATGGCAGTTACCTGTGTTTGAAAGATGGCTGCCATGTGGTTGTTTGTTTAAAATGTTCCCCCATAAGGTTCTGATAAGAGCTGTTCTTGAAAAAGAGCAGTTTCTGTCAAGAGCTCTCTCAGCCCCACCTACCTCACAGGGTGTCTGTTGTAGGGAGGCGAAGGGAAAGGAGTTTGTAAGCCACTCTGAGACACCTTTGGGTAATGAAGGGCAGGGTATAAATCCAATCTCTTCTTCTTCTTTTTAATTGAGCTGTAGTTCCAGAGAGGGGCCTGCAGGGGTATCACTCA